CGTTTGTTAACATATAAAACTGGAAACAATAATTCATTATTACCACATAAGCTATCATTTTGTGTTCGTAAATGTTGTAATATTTCTATTATAATTTCATTCGGAAGATTTATATCAAATCTTTTTGGTGGTTTCCTTTTTACTGCTAACTTTGTATTCTGCTCCTTATCTTGTTGTATTTTTTCAAAATTTGGCAAACTATTTGTAATCAAATTTGGAATTTCTGGGTAAGGTGGTTTCCATGTAACTGTTATACAATTTTTTACCGTACAAATTCCTCTTTTTTCAAGTTTTAACTCACCTATTTCTTTACCTGTTTTGAGATTCACTCGTCCAACTACTATAAATCCATCTGTATGAATTCGTTTTACTTGATCTCCTAAAGGTTTTACAATTTCAGAAATTGTTTTTCTAGTCGAAGCTAATAAAAAGGGTTTTATTCTTGGGTGTGTTCCATAGTTTTGCCCATTCCTTTGCTCACATAAGGCACCCCATAATGAAACTAATAATGCTTTACTTACTTTTCCAGCTGTTCCGCCTTCTTTTTTAATATTATATAATATATTTCCCCATTCTCCAAACATGTCTTTTCCTGTTATACGTACATTTCTTTCATAAATAAGTGCATTTGGTGATTCATTTATCAAATATACTTTTAAACCATTTCTTTTAGCACTCTCTAAATCATAATGCGTGTAAATCCCATGTGGATTATATCGCAAATATCTTGTACATTGAAGACTTTTTTTTGGCGAATTTCTGTCTATTGTTGCTTTATAAATTCCATATGGAAATTTAGTCCATTTTTCTACTAAAGATACGTCTATAGTATGAAACTTACCTGATGCAACAGGCCATGAAGCTTCTTTCTTTAACATTTCATATATATACATCGAATTTACATCATATTGAATAGCTTCTCCTTCATATTTTTCTGCAAATATTAGAGCGCCTGTTGTCGCTAAATCTATCCAAGCCTTCTCCTGTTCACTTATTTTCTCACCTCTTTTAGGTGCTAAAGTAGTTTCATTGAAAAGTTTTATAGTTGTTAAAGAATAATTTCCTGTTTTACGCATATCAATATTACCTTTAGTTTTTTTTGAAATAGCTTCAGACTCATCGATAATTCTTATGTATGCTTTTATAGTTGTTTCTCCGTTATCTGCTTTAATAAAATAATATTTGTTATATAATGCATGAAAGTCATCTTTTACTCCATACCATTTTCTTTTTCCGTCATAAAATTCTACACCATTTGCTATAATTTTGTATATTAATATAGCTTTATTTCGCTCTTTACTAGATCCTATCTCTGGGTCGGGTGCCGGCGCGGTCGCCTCTCTCGGCTGGTGCGTCGATGGGTTTTTGTTAAATGATATGAGATCGTCATCGGGAGCTGGTGTTGGGTTTTCAGGTGGATTCCCTACTGGAGCTGGGTTTTGCATCAAACGCAAAGCTGGTTGACATTGCCCCTTACGAAGATTTCCTAATAAATTCATATGTTTATTAAGATCTCTGGTCTTTCCTGTTAATATTGGGCGAGCACATCCTGGACAATTGAGTACCATAGTAATATATATATATTAGTAAACCGTGTATTTTATTAATATAACCAGATCTTTTGTTTAATTTTAAATAATTATTCATTTATATAAATTTATTACTATCACAATGCATGGAGAGTATACTTGTAATTATATTCACAACTCTGGAGAAATCTGCGGACGTGGTTGTTGACGTCCTGAAGGGTGTCATAAACATTGGAGAGCAAAAAAACGTGTTCCTTGTAAAGAATTTAATATTTGTAAAAAATATACTTCCGCCAAATCTGGAACATGTAAAAAACATGCTAAAGGTTTTTATGTTATGCAGTTTTATGCTCGACAACTTCAAATTGAAAATCCTGAACTGGAGAGGGAAAAAGCCTTCCAGGTGGGGATAGATGCTTCACTTTGTTTCGCATCAGAACCTTCCAAGTGGGGCTACGCTTAAGATCATAAAAAAACACGAAATTGTCCTAAAATTTGTTATACGAAGTATGGGTAAGGTGCTTCGTGTCATTTCTCTGAAATACATCAGGTTCGTTTTATTTAGCAAAACTAAATGTTAGATAGGCAATATTTTGTATTTTTTGCTATCCCAAAAACCTTCTTTCGGAGAAAGGACACTTCGTGCCCCAGGTGGGGATAGATGCTCACTATGTTTCGCATCAGACCTTCCAGGTGGGTCTATAACTAAGACCAGTGACGAGACAAAAAAAAAAATACACCAAATGATATGCTAGAAAAAAAAATATTTTTACTATCTGTCTTATTATTAGAAAGTTTATAGAAAACTAAATAGATAACTAATGCTCCGCTAGGCTCCGCAACTGTTTCACATTCACCTAAAGGTTCATGCTCACAGTGACAGAAAGCTAAATGCTAACTAAACAGATAA